TTCGGATTCTGGGCTTGGAGATGGCACCACTCATCAGGCCATGCTGAGGCAGCATCCCACGCGCCACAACTAGAAGGACCTACTACTGGAATACACAACTATGTACTGGGGGGACTTTGGGGAGAAGAAGAAGAAGAAAAGGATTGGTAACAGATGTTAGCTCAGGTGCCAATCTTTAAAAAAAAGATATGATCTTATAAAAAGGGGTCTGGCCACACTTTTGTCTCTTCTTGGAGTATTCCCATGGAACATAAAGTGTCCCACTCTACTTTTCATGGTTCTCTAGCCACAGTTACTTAATGGAAAATAGTGTCTCTCTGAGATAACTGTCATGGTGATTTTTAGTCCTGAAATAAAAGCTAATCGTGTAAAAAAAAAAAAAAAAAAAAAAGGGGGTCTGGCCAGGTGGCATAGTGGTTAAGTTTGCAGGCTCTGCTTCAGTGGCCCGGGATTTGCAGGTGCAGGTGCTGGGCACAGACCCAACACTGTTCCTCAAGCCACGCTATGGCAGCATCCCACACAAAATAGAGGAAGATTGGCACAGATGTTAGCTCAGTTACAATCTTCCTCAAGCAAAAAGAAGAAGATTGGCAACAGATGTTTGCTCAGCAACAACCTTCCTCACATACACACAAAAAAGATATGGTCTTATAAAAAACCACAAAATTTCTCTATAGTAAAATCTACTAAGAGCAAAATCAAAAGAATAACAACAAAGTAAGAAAAAATATTTGAGACATATAGGATTGATAAAGGCTAATTTTCATGATATACAAAATGTTTTTGACATAGAATAAGGAAAAGGATACAAAATGCAATAAAATGGGGCAATGATTTGAACAGGCAATTCACCGAAAATAAAACACAAATAATCAATAATTGAAAATATGATATCCTTAAGCTTACTCATAATGAAAGAACTGGAAATATAAACAAAACCCCGTTACTCTCCATAAAATCAGCAAAAACATTAATTAGTTTTCCACTTCCAAAAGTTGGCAAGAGAGAGGGAAATAGGCACTTTCATACCTTACTGGTGAAATTGTAAAATGCTGCAACATCTACGGGAAATTAGCCTTTTGTCTACTACACTGTGGAAGGTAAATAAGTGTTGGATGACTGAAAAGGGTACTCCACTCTCAAGACACCATCCTCGTATATACAAGTGATATACTTTTGTAAATACTAACCAGACTGACTCTTAACAATCAGATTAATTTCTGACTTTTACATTCAGTGCTTTACCCAGAGCCAAAATGAGGAACTCTAATCTTGGAGTCATAACTTGGACAGGTTCCAGTAAAGTCTTGCAGAGATCTCACCCTCATGGATTATCAAGAACGAGAAACCCCTCAACCCTTCCACAGGCAGAAGGAGCAAGAAAGTAGACCACAAATAGAACCGACCTCCCCTAGAATCAGTTCCTGCAGAGGTAAGCCGCAGCCTGATGCACAATATCTCAAGCCAAAGGTGATCTTGGCTCATACAGTTTGAGTGGATTGGAGGGAGTCATCCAGGTAATAAATGACAAAGCCTGAACTAAGATAGGAGCACAAACTATACCTTAAAGAAGATGGGTCGGGGAGATAACAAGGATTTTGTCACTGTATGGATGGGAGGGTAAGTATCACAAAGCACCTAGATGATTCGCAAATTTTTGACTTAGAAAATTGGATGATGATGGTGCCATTCTCTCATAAAATGAATAGGAGGAAGCATTGCTCAGAAGTCTCTTAAGCCAGAACTCCTGAGTTTGACTCCAGTTCTATTGCATTCCAGCTATGTGATCCTGGTCAAGTTACTTAATTTCTCATTGCCTTGATCTCCTCATCTCTAAATGGAAATAAGAATATCTCCTTCAAACGGTTGACATGAGGATTAAATAACTTATCTTAGTGCTTAGTATCAAGTGCTTAGAACAGTGCCAGGCAGATAGCAAGTGTTACATGACTGTTACAGTTGTAGTTTAACGATTTGAAATATTATCTTTGTTGAAAATTTATAATAGTGATTTCATGTGCCCAGAGTGGTCCTCAAGACCACAATGGATATAATGATGATAAAAGCTGCTGTTGCACTTAGAAGGAGAGGGTGGCTCAGCTGGAATTTGCTCTTGCCAGCCAGGGTAACAAACAGAGAGAAGTTACAAAGTGAACACACATCTTGTGAAAACAGCTCTCTTCCTCTGTGTTCTATCGTACCTCTCAACAATAGCACGAAGTATCACTGCCCCCCTAAATAACTGTGCTTCAGACAAATGGTATATTTAGGATGCCCTAAATATCATATGAACATTGACAGCCCCGTATTTTTCCTCACGCCTTTCCCTATCCGCTCTATCATTTACAGCCTACAATCCTACTCAAACTCTTCCTCCTTCACTATCTACTTGATGGTAAAGTGCTCTCCCTCTTTTGACCTCATAACAGTAAGAACTTAAATTATTTCAGCCAGCCATTCTTACATGGATCTATCTTTTTGTTTCATGTGCTATATTTTCCTAACTAAATAAATTTTTTAAAAAACCAAACTTGGGCTGGCCCAGTGGCATAGCAGTTAAGTTCATGGTCTCTGCTTTGGTGGCCCAGGGTTCACCAGTTTGGATCCCAGGCACGGACCTACACATCACTTACCAAGCCATTCTGTGGCAGGTGTTCCACATAGAAAATTGAGGAGGATGGGCACAGATGTTAGTTCAGGGCTAATCTTCTTCAAAATAAATAAATAAACATAATTTTTTTAAAAAAACAAACTTGGGGTGGGCAGTGGAGATAACTATCTTATACTACTTTGCTACCCCCATGGTTTTTTTTCTATAGTATAATGCGCAGATATTGCATAAATACATCTTCACTGATTGAATGATAGTTGTAGCTCCCCTCAATACAAAGGGGAATGATAAAGACAGAGGGTAGGTTGAGATTAGTTGAAGATTCCATAATTAAAACAAATATCACTAGAGACAATTTCTGAAAGGGTTTGCCCTCTCAGTTATAGGTTAGCTCTTATGTTCATCGGCTAAAAAACTCAAGGTCATTTCTTTCTCACAGACTTCACTACCAGGTTCATGGTTGCTCCCCATCTTCTCACTAGTCATCATCCTCAGGAACTTCAACATCCATGCTGACCACTCCCCAAACATCTGGCCTCATAGTGAGTACCTTTACTACTTAACCCTAGAAATCTTTATCCATTCTCTACTTTATTGCTAATACATTTTATGACACTAACTTCTTTCATTAACCTAAGGATAACTTGGTAGTTGTTATACAATAATGATTAAAAATATGGAATCCAGAGTTAGCCAAACATGCTGAAATCTCTATTTTGGAACTTATTAGCTATATAACACCAAACAAGTTAGGTAGAGACAATTCTCCAAGGCATTTCTGCATATCTTATATCAGGTTTTGTTCTGTGCTATCTCTTCAAGGACCTTAGTATAACAAAGAGCCTTGGAAGATACAAACAGTGTCTCCCTCTAGGGTGGAAGGCAGCTTTGTTTCCTGACCAAGATAATAAAGATTAATGTCTTCTTCTGGGGCAAATGTTGGGCAGGTTTGCTAGCAGTCTCTTATCAGATTGGGGATTTCCCAAGCTTAGAGTTCCTCGGCAGTGACACAAGCCCACTATATGTAGCATTCTCCAGGGCCACTTTGTATATTCCCAATGGAACTTGAAAAGCTAAGGAATATGAAGCTCATGCTACCTGCTGTACCGTGAGTAATGAAGTCACTTGTCTCTGACCCAGGAGTCTCTCATTCTGCTAGTATCTATGAACATGTGGCTGGCTAACTTGTTACCTTGAAAGAAGAGTAAGATCTCAGAACTTTCACAGTTCTTGATAATAGCCTCTTTATGCCTCAGTTTCCCTACCTGTAAAATGCGGAGAAGGTGCTTACGTCACAGAGTTAGTATGTTACTTAATGGAATAATGAGATAATACATATGCAATGCTTAAAAGAAGCCTGAGCCTCATAGCTGGACTCTTCAATAGTATTTGGTGACTCTTTACTGCCTTCTTGCCAAACCAAATGGCCTGCTCTCCAGCTCAGTTCTCACTGGTGGCTCTGCAGCACTGACATCATAAATCATTCTGTCCTTCTTAAAAGTTCCTAATTCCTAGACTGTGACTCTAGACTAAACTAGTTTTCTTTCTACATTTTTGTTCCTCTCTAGTTCCTTCTTGAAATGTCACATACAAAAAAAGAATTAGCAAGAGGAGAATGTTTTGCGAATGTCCTAAGATAGTCCCAAATTTCCACAAAATACTAATTAACAATACAACAACAACAGAAGACCAGTTTTTCTAAAATGGAGGAAGGGGAAGGCAGTAATCAGAATGAGAGGCTGAAGAGAGTCATGAGATCTTTATCAAAAGGAGATAAGAGTTACAAGAAACCTATAAAATGTCAAGTCACTCAATTATGTAGATGGTCTACATTTATTATTCCCAAATATCTAATCTTAAGGAAATATTTCCAAAAAAATACTGGAAATAAAACAAGGGGAATGGTGTCTGTAAGCTATATGGCCAAGTGACCATTGAAACACAGTGTGGAATGATCAGAAGGAAGACAAACTCTAACCATCAATAGATCCCAGGGAATCCTAGTTCCAGCTTTTAGTAGTTGTAAGAATTTGGGTGAGATCCTTAACCTCACCAAACTTCAATTTACTCACCTCCCAAATGGGGTAAGACTATCCACCTTGAAGAGTTGTTGATGGGTTATCTCAATAAATTGTATCTATGATGAGTGGGATTAAAGCACTGAAGAATCGCTTCTTCTGAAATTGATAAAAAGGCTGAGGGATATTTCTGAATATTTCCCAAAAGGATATAAAATTTTGTAATGTGGTACCATATTTGCCAAATACAGCATTATAGAACTTAAACTCTGGCTTCACAAAAACTCAAGGTACAGAAAATTCCTTAGGGTCAGACTTATATAATTCATTGTCAGTCTTAGATAATCACTTACTTGATTTGGTAAACTTACCTGTAACAAAAAATCAAAGAGTGCCATCTTGGACCACTCATGGTGATGTATTTCAGTACAACCCCATTCGGGTTTGGGTACTCGGCCATTCTGCCAGCACTTCTGTTTCAGTAACTGCTGATAAGTTCCCCAGGTGAGCTTAATAGAAGAGTGGGTCTCATTACTTGTTGGAGATAAAGATGAGTCCCAGAGAATGACAGGACATGGGCGGCCATCTACGAAATCCGAAAAACAAACATGCTTTTAGCCTGCTATTGACTGAGTGTGCGCCCTTGATCAGTCATTTACTCTTCCACAGCTTCATTCTCTCACCTGTCAAATGTGAGAGTTTGATTAGATGATATTTTATGGTCCCTTTGTCTTTTGAAGTTTTCATGTTTTTATACCTCAATGATGCTTCCTGATAGAAGTCTCATAAAACGGAAAGTCATTGTTAGACGATGAAAGAAAAATTGTTTTAAACAACACACTTTATAGATGTGGCAGGAATAGGCCAATAACCACGTCCTTCTGGTTAATGTGGTTTTATCCCACATCTAAAAGCAGCAACCACAAAAAAGGAAAGAATCCAGACATTTATAATTGTCTATTCAATGTCTGAGTAGAGCTGCTCTCTATTTGTAATAACAACTGTCTGATTTTCTGAGGCCACTTTATGATGTAGGAAGGAAAAGAATTTTTAGAAGTCGCAAATTTAAAAGTGAAATTGTATGGTTCACACCACTCACTATAATCTCCAAAGAAAGAAAAAAGAAGCAAGAGGTTTTTTTCTTTTCTGATAGAAACAATGGTGCTCTTGGCATCGGATCATTTACTCACATATAACTTCAAAAAGTGTATTTAAGCAAATGTCATTTCTTCAATTGCATGTGCATAGGTGATTTTTCAAAAATCTGTCACTCTAATTGCTTTCGTCTCACTCTTGATAGTTTAGAAATTTCATTGCTAAACTGTATAAAAAATGATGAGCCCGAGTGAAATCATCTTAAACAGGGAAGATCATGATGTGGTACATTAAATGACACTTTAAGCTTAAAACCAATGATGTCATTTCCAAGCTCTCATTTCTGCCAATGTCACTGAGAGATGATGCTGAGCAGCTTTGCTTATAACTCAAAAACCAGAATGATGCTCTTGAAAAAAAAAACAACTATATCACAAAGATCTGAAAAAGCCCACTTACCTCATTCTTAACAGGCCTGGACAATAGAAGCCTCTGAAATTATGACTGGAATGTCTAGACACATCACAGGAATTTTTTAAAGCCCTTTTAAATAACCTGAGAGGTTTTCAATCTATAACTGAATTCCTTTTTGTTAAAGACTTTTATTTTACCACCTTGCGTGTTTGCCTTCTTGCAGAGTCTTATCTCTGGTCCTTAGTGCAGGAAACCATCACCTTCTCTAACCACTCTTGAATTTGGTTACAGTGATCTCAATAATTTTAATAGTATTCACTTAATCAATCTAATCACCTGCATTCCAGTTTTGTCCAAAAGAAAAATCTTTCTAATTTTCACCTTGCAATTTAGGCCAGGGCATGTGGAAAGTCCTTTAGATTGTGGAAAATATGCCACAGTCATTGACGTACAATTGAGAGAAAAAAGAGAAAGAAACCTGAACTATAACTAAAGAACTTCATTTTTAATATTATCTCCCTCCTTTTTATTTCCTTTTATGTTACTAAATGACTTGAGGCTGCTTGGATCCAATTGTCTTCTTAGCTATAAGATAAATATAATTTTAAATATATGTCTTCCAAATACTATGCCAATTAAAATAATAATAATAATAATAATAAATTCCAGGTCAAAGTCCATCAAGCAGTGGGAGACACGTATAGATCAGTGTAACCAAATGCGAGTAGGAGACACAACACAGCTTCACAGCTTTCGAAGACATGTAGTTCAGACTTCTAAAGATAAACACCAACAAGCTCTGTCTGTCAGTGTATTTGGACCAAAGTTATACACAGAGAGCAGTGTGCATTCTCAGGGCTAGGAAGTATTCAAAGGGAGTTGAAACCTAACACCGAACTTCAACAACACAAATCAATCCCGGAGACAGACAGGCCAGCAGTTTCCTCAGCAATTCACAAAAGGCCCTCAGAGAAACAAGGAAATGATCTACATAAACAATTCAACAGCTAACAACCTTCTGGCTGTTATTCCTTTCCTTGAGAAACATTTGTTTCTTATTTTAAAAGTAATTAAAAGTAAATCTACTCATTTCAGGAAATGTGGAAAAACATTAAGATGTAGAGCTAAGAAAACAAAAATCACCCATAATCTCATCTCCCAGTAATTGGTTCTGTTCTTTGTATATTTACCTCTGGTATTTTCCCATCCCTTCCTTTCTCACCTGAAAATGTAAATTGTTTTTAAGAAATTCAAGGAGTACAGCTTATGGTTAGAGCTCAGACTCTGGAATCCAACAGACCTTTTGAATTGTGGTCACATTACTTCTTAGCTTTATAACATTAGACAAGTTATGCAACCTCTCCTTGTTTTTGTCTTCTGCAAAATGGGTATGATAATGCATCTTCCAAGTGGACTTTGTTGGGATTAAATAGGATCATGCCCTTAGAGTTCTCAACCTGGTGCCTGACATACATGCACATTCCACAAAGGCTTTGCTCTGACTACTATTACATATATACATTATACAATCAAATAATTCATCAGTCTTCAACAGGCCTTTATTTGTTTATTAAACATCTACCATATGCCAAGCACTATTTTAGACCTGAAACTAAATTAATTAATTAACGCTTTTTGGTATTTTTGCTTTCATGGAAGTTACATTTCCACCAGAGGAAAGAAGCAAAAATCACACAAAAATAAATAAGCTACTTGGGATCATCTTGTATGTACAGTTTGTCATAATTATTTCACAAAATATTATATCATAAACATTTCTCTTATTATTTGTAAATAGCGTTGCCTTAACTGTGATATAATCATTTAGCCTGGTGGTCTTTGTGAACGGCAGATGGTAAATATTTTAGGCTTGGAGAGCCATGTGGCCTCCACCACAACTATTCAACCAGCAAGTGCTCAACTCTGTTGTAGCATGAAAGCAGTTAAAGACAATAAGTCAACAAATGGCCATGACTGTGTTTCAATAAAACTTTATTAGGGACACCGAAATTTGCACTTCACATAATTTTTACGTGTCATAGTAATATGATTATTCTTTTGACTTTTCTCAACGATTTAAAATTGGAAAAACCTTTTGCAGTTCACAGGCCACACAGAAACAGGCAGTGGGCCATCTTTGGCCCATAAACTGTAGTTATCAACCCCTGATCTTGTCTATGAGTATACTGTATTTCATTTACCATTTCTCTACCTTAGATCATCACATTTTGCAGGATACATTTTCTATACTATTATTTAAAAAGTTATTCTCAAACTGTCAAAGGAAGCTTTCAGTTGATAGGAATAATTGGCTTTCAATTAATATTCTGTGTTTTTCTCCACATCCATCCATGCTCCCTCAGCAAAATATTTTGAATGCTGACTGTCACCTAAAGACGTTTTGTCCTACCCTGCTGGGTCTCAGTGCACTGCAGGAGAGGGGGATTTCCAGAAAGCAGGGTGAGCAGCAATTGTCAGGCTGAGCCGAGAGTGGCTGTGGGTCCTTTTGACGCACAGGTCTTCTTGCTGTGTATCAGCCCATATGGCTCCTGAGATAATAATAGTAGTCAGTATGGCTCCAGATCTCAGAGTTATGAGCACTTCTGTGAGGAGAATTCCACTTTTTAGAAAATATGGCTGTTAAAAGAATTAAATGAACTTTGATAGATCTGAAAGGATGACAGAAAAATAGCCTCTGAAAACAGGAAACTGGTTAAAGCAACTTACCCTGAAGTGTTTCAGAGATGAGAGGCATTCATCTCTTTGCATTCAGGGTTGTCAAAATGATGCAGTACTGTACTCTCGAGAGAAATCTTAACAGTGAAGAGATAAAATTCTAACTGTCAGAGTAGTGAGAAAGCAGGTTTTAAAAGATACGTGGGTGTTCGTGTGAATTAAATGTTATACAGCTGTCTTTAAAAAGGACATTTGCCAGTAAAACTTTTTTTTTCCAAAATCTGAATATTTCGCCCATATTTTGATGTTCTCCCAAGTCATTCTTTATTCAGAAGCACCAAGAAGATACTCTTTGGAGAAGATGAACATGAAAATTCACTAAGAATGAATGCTATGCACAATCTCCTTTGCCTGAATTTATTAAATGCCCTTCACTTTGAACGCTGGCTGACTGGTTTTGTTGAACTATAGGTGAATGCTAAGCATTTTGGGTGAAGTTGTGAGTGTCTGTCTGCATTTGTCACTGAGCAAAAATAAGTAAAAACATCCTGAGCTCTGAAATCAAAAGTCCTATCACATGGGCCAAGTTCCAAGATTTCTTGCGAACAAAACAAAAAGGAAACCCACAGCCAACATCATACTCAATGGGCAAAAACTGAGTGCCATCCCCCTGAAAACAGGAACGAGACAAGGATGCCCTCTATCACCACTCTTATTTAACATAGCACTGGAGGTCCTGACCAGAGCAATCAGGCAAGAAAAAGGAATAAAAGGAATCCAAATAGGGAGGGAAGAAGTGAAACTCTCGCTGTATGCAGATGACATGATCTTATATATAGAAAACCCCAAAGAATCCATTGGAAAACTCTTAGAAGTAATCAACAACTACAGCAAAATTTCAGGGTATAAAATCAATTTTCATAAATCAGTAGCATTTCTATATTCTAATAACAAACTAACAGAAAAAGAAATCAAGAACACAATACCATTCACAATCGCAAGAAAAAGAATAAAATACCTCAGGGTAAATTTAACTAAGGAAGTGAAGGACCTATATAATGAAAATTACAAGGCCTTTCTGAGAGAATTGGACGACAACATAAGGAGATGGAAAAACATTCCATGTACATGGACTGGAAGAATAAACATAGTTAAGATGTCCATTCTACCTAAAACAATCTACAGATTCGACGCTATCCCAATCAGAATCCCAATGACATTCTTTACAGAATTAGAACAAAGAATCCTAAAATTCATATGGGGCAACAAAAGACCCCAAATTGCTAAAGCAATCCTGAGACAAAAGAACAAAATGAGAGGCATCACAATCCCTGACTTCAGAACATAGTACAAAGGTACAGTAATCAAAACAGCATGGTACTGGTACAAAATCAGGTGCAC